CTTTTTTTGCACTTTTTTCTGCCGGTTTATCGATAAGCCATCGCCAGGCGGTGACGCCGTATACTAGGACGTGGCAGTATGCTATAACTGCAAGCAGCACTCTTCCCACCGCCATGGTTGCTATGGCCACGCACTTCTATACTCGCAAACGCACTATATGATCAATGGTCAATCTAGGCAGTAAGACCAGGAGATGATGATTGTATTCAATTGTACAGCTATTCATCTGTCGGGTATATCGCCATCCGACTAGCCGTCAAAATCCATTATATGTGCCCTGGGGGTATCTGCAAATACAGACGTCAACGCGTTAAACATCCAAGCAAACATGCTCAAACACCGCAGCCCTGCCGTATAAACAATGCTCCTTGATTTACAAGAGCCAACCGGTAGCAACAATAAACAAGAATCGCTGTATCGCTCCCAAAAGCCTCCACGAATCAGGGGATTCGGACCAGGCATATGTACCATAACATTCCCTCATATCACGCCTAACTAAATTCACCAGTCCTGGCCACGATCTTTCATCAAGATCTCGATAGCCTCATCTTCCGGGACAGGGTTTTCATTCAATTCCTTGACACATTGTGTCAGCCCCTCAGCAGCTTCATCCACCTGTTCGGCAGTCCATCCCGTACAGGCCATGACCATGCGCCGGTAGTTCTGGCCCAAAACCACGTTTTTAGACTTCAGGCGCTCGACCTCATTCAATATATCCTCATTGAACTTTTGATAACCCTCAACCTTTTGTTGTAGGGTTTCGGGTGTGGGGAGAGAGCGAAGGAAGGCCATCTGCTGCTCGGAGAATCCAGAGGCAGGGTCGAATGTTTCGGGGAAGATGGCCTCGAACTCGGCAATGTCCAGCCCGTGTTCTTTGTCGGCGTCCCCAATCGCGCACTTCTTCGACAAATCTAATGAATCGCCCTGGATCCCCTTCAGAATCACCAGCAGGTCATCAGAGGACTTTTCCAGGTTTTTAAACCGTCTGCTAAGCTCTATACGGTCGGACGATTTGGATTTGAGCTCATCGAGCTGTTTTTGTTCGATCTGTCGTGCTTTGGCCGACTCTCGAATCTTCGAGTGCCAGTGGTCGAACTTTTCTTGCTTCTTAGCCAGGTTGGAGGCCAAATCTCTGTCAAGACCACTCAATGTCTCTTGGATAATTGATGTGATTTGAGACACAGTCGCTATTAAAGTCAGTTTTGATACGCAACTTTCATCCAGGAGCACTTACAATCCAATATTTCTTTCTTCATCTTCTCCAGCTGGTCCATGAAGGAGTCACCCCCGTTCCCAGCTTGCTGCGACTGAGCGTTACCGTCAACCATGTCCACACCAACACCGTAATCTGCTGGTCGAAGACCTGTGTGATTCGGTATATGAGGATCAGCCCCGACTTCTAATAGTTGGGGAACAAGCACAGAACGTGCACGCCCAGCCAAGTTGAGGGCTGTATCTCCTTGGTCATCTCGGAGATTTACTATTTCAGAGATGAAACGCCCGAGCGTCATCACTTCACCAGCCTGTGATAATCCTTGCCCATTTTCCGTGGCACCATTCGGCGTTTGCCGGCTCAATGATGTACCGCCATGGCGGACTATGAATTCCAACAATGCTTCTAGGTAGTGTTTAGCAGAAACATGACCTCCACCACCGGTAGCAGCCATAACAGCGATGTGGTGAAGGATCGTTCTCCCGCTGTAATCGACCATGTCAATAGTTGGAGCCAGCACCTGCAGTAGACGCGGGAAACTCCTATAATCCAGGTTGTTCCTCGTTCCTACGGACTTTTGCAGTGCCGTTTCACCTGCACCGTTCAAACGGAAGATGCTAACTCCTTTCTCGACAAGTGCATAGACAAGAGGCATCCGAGCGAGCATCGCCGCCCAGTGTAGCGCATTGTTCCGATATTCGTCCAACGGAATTTCCAGATCCTCCCCAGTCAATTGCATCAAAGCTGGATGGCTGGAGAAATCGCGGGTCTTTTTGTCGAGGAACAATGTCATGATGAGCTTCATCTTTTGAAACCTCTCCGGGGTGGTGGCGGGCGGCAAAGGCTCAAACCCGCGCTTACTACCATCCACTATCGATGTTGAGACATCCATATCTTGGTAAAAGGAGTCATTCGGCTCAGTTGGTGTTGGTTCAGCCATGGAAGCCGCCGAGTGCTCGTAGGGCATCCCAAACGACGGCGCCTGGTGAGATGCAGACCGAACGCGCTTCCGCGGAGGTTCATTTGCCTCCTCATGGTCGAAGCTGGCACCGTCGTGCATAGCATAGCGGCCGTTGCTCTGGAAAGTGTTCCCGAAACCACCATCAGACGTCACACTATACATGCTTTGTTGACTGTTCAGAGGTATGTGGGTATCTTGGCTGCTCATCTGGTGCGAAGGCTTTCGTATAACACTTGATCGCCTTTGATCAATTCCGCGAGCGGCAGGCGAGTCAAAGCGAGCCTTGCTCATGGCATTTACCGCCGTCGCAGCCGTGCGAGAGATGTTCTGGAAGAATGTGCCTTGTTGAGGTTGGCTCATGCCGCGGTTATCCATCCCACTGTACAGGCGTTTCCGTTGCGCAGCCATTGCTTGCTCCTTTGTCGGGGTGTCGAGTGAGTCCTGCGCGGTACCATTTGTGCCGCCCATATCGTATTCAAGAAGGGGTCGCAGCAATTCTTCGACGTGGTATTCACGGCAGAGCTCCACGCCCCTCTGGTAGTTGACCCAGGTTCCTTGGTATTTACCATACCCTCCTTGAACCTTCTCATGCTCGCCAGCTGCAATCTCTTTCTCTAGCGTCTTTGTCCTCCGCGCCTTGACCACACCGGCAACCTTGAGAATCTGCGTAGCATTGAGCCACGAGTCGGAGCGACGTTTCATCACAGCGACTCCGTTCACTTCCATTTCGTAGACGGAGACGTTAGAGTACACGGCCTGTCGGACACATCAAAGCGAGTCAGTAACGTTTGAGGGATCGAAGATGCGCAGATGACGATAGACTGACCCTGTAAATCTGAGGCTTGAACTCTTCATGGTACATTATTGTCCCATATCCATTCATGTCCTCAAAACCTGCGAAACTTGACCGAGGGCCGTGCGGAAGGCCATTCGAGTAACCAAAGGACATCGACTGTTGCGACCCTTTCGGGGGAGGCGTAGCTCGAGGGGTGGAGGAGACCGACTGGGAGGCGTTGAAGGAGCCCATTTGCGATTGCGAAAATACCATGCCATTGGCGGAGCTCATGCTGCTCTGGGAGTAGGACATGGGTAAGCCTGGGCGAGCTGGGTGGTTGTTATTGGAAGCCATTGAAGGAACGGTGAATTAGCAGTGTTAGGGTGCCCGACCCAGACACCGACTCAAGGCTGGCTGCTCTGTCGAAGGAAAAAGTAAAAAAAGGTTAATAAATACGGATTGCAGGTACCACAAGCCAATAGCAGGGCCAGTTCAACAAGTGAACAGCATCATGACAGAATGAGAGAATCACGAAAGCATGTGGGGAACTGCACCTATCCTGGGATCTACTGCTCCAGTCTGACTTGACCGGCCAGGCAATTCGGAACGTCGCGCGAAAAGAGAGAGGCGCGTGGCTAGCGCACCGACCGCGAAGGGATGAGACAAGTCAATGAGATTGATTCTGGCGAGGCAGTCAGGCCCTGAACGGCCCGGAGTAATTTTACAAGTAGTGCAAAAGCCACTCTATCTGCAGCTCTTTCAGGAAATCCTGTACAACATAGCCTTGCATGAAGAAAATGGGTAAAAGGAACGAGATGAATGAGTTGATTGAAGTCGCGGGGGCGTTCGTTATTCGCTCCGGTCGCGTTCGCGGCTAACCCGATTTCGCGTATCGCTGCCTCGAAAACATCTATTGCCTGTTTGGGTGTTTAGTCTTCACCGCCTACTGCTTCTGTTAGATAGCCTCGCGGTGCTGCGGAATCAACTCCGGGCTTGGAGAGGAATTGATTAGAAGATAAAGGCATAACATCAGACACCATGTCTGCCATCCAGATCCCTCCCGAAACATGGCGGCACCTTCTCCGCTCCTTACTCCGCGAGTGCTCCTACCTTCCTGACCCTGTCGCCAGAGTTACATTTCATGCCCAGATCCTCCAACGATTCCGACGGTATACCCAGAAGAAAGAGACCGATCAACATCGACTTCTATTACTCCGGAAGTCAGCAACACATCAACTGTCCTTACTCAGACGAGCCAATGAGGGATATACAAAGCCGCTGGAAAAGGTCTTGCAGCAGGCTTATGGCCGCAGAGGGCGACGGAGACAAGAGCTCATACAAGCATTGGTCACACCAGCGGACGCAGTGGACGCATTGAGTGCCGCGGATGCGCAGACAGTGGCACAGGAAGCACCAGAGATGTTCGAGGATGGATGGCGGCCCCCTTCGGTCATGGTTGATCTCTTGAAAGCTCAGAATCGTAACTCGATGATCACGACGCTGAATGCCGGGTACTATACCAAGCAAGTCGAACCAGTGGTTCCCGCGGAGAATATCTGGGGGAAGCCGCTTGCTCCGTCTCGTCGCAGGAACATTCGGAGGAAATGGTACAATCAGACGCTACATAATTTGTTTCCACCACTGCCTGACTCGGAGCTCAAGGTGTTGAAGGGTCTTATGTCGGGGACTATACCATGGGCGCCACCCAAACGACGAAAGGCAGTTGGGACTTCTCCCACCCCTGAGTCTCCTCTAGATGCTGGCTTTCTGACAGAGGGACCGCAGAAGGGGGATACGTTCGAGAATTATGTAGACGGACGGCCCCATAACATCACCCGACGGTTCATGCAGAGGCTCTGGAAACGCATATCCTGTCTAGTTCCTCGCGTGAACTGGGATACTAGAAGCGGAAAGCCCGCATTCACCTGGGACGTACTCTACTCAGGACCTAAGTTGGCTCTGAAGTTAGACGAAACTACGGCGTCGGAGCTCTTCGCAGGCATCGATGCCAATGGCAGGGTAATCAAAGAACAACCAAAAGAAGCGTCAGGGTGAATATTAACCGCTCAACATAAGTATGTGACAAAGGACACAACACACAATTCTCGAACAATTCCAAACAAGATGGACCGCAAACGAGCCGTCAGTCACAGTCACGAAAAGTGCACCTTCCCATATATGTCAACCCAGGGTCTCACATTGGGACCACACCACATCCTCCCGTTAGCTACATTCTCAAGCTCGAAGCCATTCGGCCAGAGCTTCTCCATCTCAAGTCTAAAGGCGTCCTTCGGCTTTCCGTTTTTGATCCTCAACTTCTCAAAATACACATACGAGGCATAAAATACCGCCCCTGAGCTCCCAGCGGTAGGGCCCTTCTTCTTGAGAAACTCCCCGAACGAATTCGCATTCAGCCTCTTCGTACCCTGCGGGTACGCCGCCTTCGCAGCCTCTCTCATGAAGCCCGCCTGCGTCACTCCGGTCTTACGCAAATGCGCCCGGATTTTCCTCCTCACCACATCGCACGTCTCAAAGACCTGCACACTCCCATCCTCATCTCCATCCAAGTGAACACCCGAAAGATCAACCGCAGCCGGACTCGCTGGCTGATTCTTCTTCGCCCTCTTCGGGGCACTTCCTGCCGCAGTTGCCGCAGGCTGAGTCTCAGCCAACGGCACGACAGGTCCTCCGCTCCGGCTGTCAAAAAACTTCAAGGCGTTCTTATACGTAGCCGACCGGGCGCCCTTGACGCCCTCCTGGCTCAAAAACTCGGAAAATGACCGCGGAGACACGTCAATTGCGCGCTGGAACTCGTTGGCGTTCATCTGTCCTGAAGCGATGAAATCGCGTATCTCCTGCCGAATCTCGTCGCAGCTTTTCTGCGTATTTCCAGACGGTGATGCTGTTCCTGCCGCTGGCTGATTCTCTTTATCAGGGCCAGTAGCGATCGCAGGATCCATCATATCGGTGGAGGTTCTCTTCTGGGCAGGCATATCGCTAGATAATTGTTCGACACGCTTGTAATAAGCCAATGTATATAACGCCTAGGTAATATATATAAGAGGCACAAGAAACCCAAAATGAAGGACGAGTACTAAGTAGTCAAAATAGTAAACAGAAACACGCGCCGACGCGTCCACTGCAGTTCAGTGAGCAAACGGACGGATCAAGCCCATGAATCCCTGTTCAATAGTAAGCGCTGTACTCCGTAGAAACATCTTATACTCCGACGGGCAGTGGCATGAGTGGAGCGATATGCTCGTTCATGATTGGTCCGTCAATGGAGATGATCAACAGTCGGTGTTGAGGTATCACATCTTCTGTGTCAGGAGATAGTGGTATTTATTGAATTGACACCTCTGTTATGAAGTTGAAGTGACGTTGATGTCTTGTTCAGTACTATGTGCAGGCTACTTGGCATGATGTACCTCTTGATTTCTGTGGTGGGTAGGTAGGGGCAACAAGTGGCAAGCTATGATCAAAATCTCAAGCATATAGGTAGGGCAAAATAAATTGTGACGAATTTAAGCATAGCATCGAGCAAGTCAATATGGAAGACTACTAACCACCCTCAAGCCTAGTAACTTGCAACCGAACCCGAAAACTACTAATAAGCAGGATAAAGAACCATTCAACAATAGAACATCGATTTGCAAGGCACACGCATACAATATTTAGCTCTGAACTCCCAAAACAATTGCGCCTTTTCCTACCTAGCGGATTGTAAATCGAATGTAAAAAGAAAAATCAGACCAGATCATAGTGTAAGCCATCCCATCAATCCATCACACATCACTTTACTACCATCTTGTCTGTCACTGTCAGATACATCCTGACGGCTCATTCATCCCATCTTCTCCTTCACTCCTCCTGTCCAGCCCTATGATATTGTACAATACAATGGATATTATTGAAAAAGCAACCCCGGTCGGCTCCTTCGTCCGGTCGTTAGAAATGAAAGGAAAGGGTTATTGAATTTCTCTCCAACTGTTGGAAAAAAGCATGTCATCATTGGCGAAACATTCCCTTTTCATAGGTACATTACAGGTCCAACGTCTTGTAGTCAGCGCCTGTTTCTGCACTCAACGGCTGCACGCCTCTAACGTCACCTCCTGCCGGTTGGAAGTTATAGCGGTTGCCGATCCCGGTCGTAGCAGCATCGGCGAGCATGTTGTTGGTCTCCTCGCCAGGGCCCCGAAGACTGACGGCCTGCAGAGTGTCCTGGACCTCCTTGACACGCTTCTTGAAGGCCATACGGTCGAGGAAGAGCTGCTGGCGAGCGAGCTCAAGTTCCCGGCGTTCGGCTTCGATGATCTCCTCCATCTCGTTAAACTGCTGCAGCTTGATCTCGAACTTCTGGAGGGTGACGTTGACGGCCGATGAGACCAGGCGGGTCATTTCACGTTCTTCGTGAGAAGCCAGAGCACCAGCACGAGCGGCGGAAGCCGCAAGGGCCACGGTGGGAAGAGAAGCCTTGCCCTTGTCGGAGCCAGAGACCTCGACAGCTTGCTCGGTTGCTTCCTCGCGAGCAGAGTCCACTTCCATGGAATCCTCGGCCTTGACTGTGGCACTGCCTTCCTTCTCCTTGCCCTTGTCTTGGGCTCCAGAGCCCTTCTCGAGCTGCTTTCTCAATTCCTTGCGGATCTCCTCCACGGAGCGGCCGGCAGCAGCTGCGGCCACGGCAGGCTCGGCCATCTGTGCAAGGAACGCAACCACGGACAGGACAGGGTTCTCGGTCTGGCTGATAGGCTCCCGCCCATTGCCTGCACGAACCTCGGGCATATCATCCAGATACTTGTCTTCGATCTCCAGCTGCAAGAACTTCATCACGCACTCCTCCTTTGTCCTGGATCCAACGTGAGTGGCAATCTGTTCCCAGTTGTCGTCGAAGTTTTCCAATCCCTCCAGCAACAGCACAAGCTCCGAATCCGACCACGGAGCATCCCGGTCGGGGGCAATCGAGTATGGGCTGTCTTCGAGCTTGACGAAGTCGGAAGCACTGTGGCTGGACGGCATCCGGCCCTGAAGGAAACAGTTGGGGCACAGGTCGTACTTGGTGTCAGGTGCAGCTGGGTTGGCGGTTGCTGGTGTCGCCTTTGCGTAGTGGAATCTGAGGCGAGTACAATCGATGCCACAGGAGAAGCAGTTGAACTTCTTTCTCGGTTCCTTGGAAGCGCTCTCCATCGCCTTGGTCGAATCGCCCGTCGTACCGTTCGTTGAGCCTTCGCCATTGGTCTGCTTGTCTTTGTCCTCCGTAGCAGGGGTGATCTCCTTGCCCTTGTCATCATACACATTGCGACGGATCTCGAGGTTCAGGTCGGCCTTGGCAGCTGGGGTAGCTGATGCTGCACGATCCGTGGCCGGCAAAGGCTTTCCGGGCTTGACGAAGTGGTTGGGTCCGGGCTGGAATGGCTGGAGGCCTCTGGGGGTATCGGCGACCACTCGGAAATGGCCAGTGAAAGGAGGGCCGATGTTGGACGGACGTGTTTGGGGATCCACCTGAGTCAAGGCATCAGCAACTCGGGACTGAGGTTGGCACCGGGCGGATACTTACCTGGTAGTTGATGAGACCCCATTGCTCCAGGAAGGAGTGCACGCGCATGATCGCACAAACGTCTCCGGCAAGGTTGCGGCGGCACGCAGTGACTGTGAGGTACTCGATAGGGTTCAAACGGTAGGTGTTGATCATGAAATCACGGTAATCTTTGTAAACGGCAGGGGTCTTGCTACGGTTTCTGCCGTTGAAGAACTCCGCCAGAGCCTTCTTCTCGATCGGGTGAATGAGGTGCATGTCGAACCAGGTGGAGTAGCTGGGGAGGATGATGGCGTGGGTTTGCGAAACGAGATGTGAGCGCGCGGAGGCTTCAATGGATGCCTTGGCCTGCGCCGGCTGTTCATCTGTAGCACCTTCAGCGCCGGACTGTGCGGCAACATCAGCGAGGTCCTCGCCTCCATCGGTCTCCTTCTTAGTCTCCGTCTCGGTGCCGCCCATCTCCTCATCCTCGGGTTCGCCATCGGCATTCTGGCGCGTGGGTGAAGCGGGGGCATCTAGCGGGTTATCAGTATCGGGGCCAGTCTCGGTCTTTTTCTCAGGAGATCCCTGATGCGATTGCGATCCTGGGTGTCATGATTGCGAATGTTGGCAAGTTCCAATCCCCTTAGGGGCGGAAAGAGGGAGAACGCACCGGAAGTGGTAATCACATCACCTGGGGCATCCTGTGCCACGTTAATAGCCTGAGCATCCTCAGTGGCGCCACCAGACATAACCTGGTTGTCTTCCATCTTGTTGGCACGATAGTCGACGACGGGAAGCTGAGGTCGCGGGTGGCAGAGAGCAAGGGACTTGGCTCTGCTCAGAAGAAAGGTAGGCGGGGCGCGGACGCGGCCCTCTGTGTGGTAGAGACGTGAAGGGAAAGGGTATTAGGGATATGCAAGATAGAATGGGGGTGGATGACTCCACCAGACAGCGACGAGAGATTGATGGATGAGTGGCTTGGAGGCAGAGCGACTGTCGCGACACGGACCGACGCTCCAAAAACTCGCGCCAAGACCATAAGATGCGCTAGCCGTATCTGGACTAGTCGTTACCGGGCTCTTCCCCATCACGGATGGAGCTTCTTCTCTCCACATTATCGATCTATTCCCTACCAACCCTACTCTGTTCTGACATCGCAATCTATATTCTATTGCTTTGGTTGCAGAATACTCAATGTATGAGAAGCATCAATGACTGTTCTCGAAATTTAATATACTACATACATATTCCCCATATTCGAACCTTTTCAAGTTTCCGATAGACATCCTATATTGAATGACACACCAAACCCAAATCCAACTCAGTGCGTTTCATTCGCGATTGCTTCCTTCTGTAGACTGGCCGTCTTAGAGATGGCCGGTCTTGCCTTGATTTTTTCCAGCCAGGCGTAAAGGTTCGGGTATTCCTTCTCCAGATCAACATCATTATCCGTAGCGGCTCCAAAGTAATTGTACCACTGCACGAACGAGATGTCCGCGTAGCTATACCGTCCACCGACCAGATATTCCCTGTCTTTTAGGACGTTGTCCAGCACCCATGACACCCGAAGAACCTCTTTCTTGTATCTCTCCTGAGCACTAGGAACCACTTCAGGGTGGTGTCGTCGGAACCAAACAGCCTGACCGAAGTACGGGCCCTGCCCACTCATCTGGAAGTGTAGCCATTGTTTCGTTTCGAAGAACTCGGGGGTACCAGCCGGGAAACTGATTTTGTTGTCTTTGTCGTATGTTTCGGTCAGATATTCAATGATGGCGCCGGACTCCCATAGTGTGATTCCCGTGTTAGGATCCTCAATAGCGGGGACGCGGCCGTTGGGGTTGACGAGGGTAAAAGGTTCTTTTTTGACGTCTCCAGAAGCTACGTATCTCGTTTTGTAGGGGAGTTCGAGTTCTTCGAGTACCATGGCCACTTTCCAGGGGTTGGGGCCTTGGGTGTGGCCCCAGAGGGTGATGGGTTTGAGAGACATGCTGAATGGTGTTGGTACTTGTGGTGGTTATTGTATAGAAAGGGGTCTGTGGTTTTTGATGTGTGAGCCTTTGATTGGAGTGGGTTTCTATTATTGATCCTGTTTGTCCTTTTATACGAGATTCATCTACTCATTCGATACATTTCTACAACTGTTGTCTCCATCATAGACGATGTTGCTTAGAAACCATGTACTTCGGCCTCTGATCGTCAGCTTATGTCGGTGTTTCGGCTCTTCGTATTCCTTGCTGACAAACCAAGTGATAGCCAACAATGCAACGCAATATCGCACCCAGAAAATTATATTGGGCCAGGGGCTGCGAAATGTCAGAAGTATATGTTTCTGTGACGTATGCCTATATTGTTGACTGTTGATTTGTAAGACGGACAGGCAACTCCGTACATCAACTCCACCGGGTCAGGGACTTTCAAACCCCGGCAGATCTCATCCCCCTGGATCTGGTATTTCGGTTACTATTTTTGTTTCGCTTGCAATTGGTGGTTGTGTTCTTCAAGTAGTCATGTCTGCTTACGTCTCTGGTTGCATGGTCGAACTGGTGTTTGTATCTGACGTAGTATACACCACGCCTTGTAAGCTCGTGGTTAAGGTTACTCATGAAAAGATTTAAGCTATCGGGAATACGATTAATTTCACTCCTTCCATGAGTCCTCCGATCCTCAGAGTACCTGTTTCTGTCCTATACCAGGCGGAATAAGCTGACGGCCCCGCCTTGGCATATGGGTTTCATGTGTATCTTATCGCGTGATAGTGGTGACATTTGAGGTACTTCTGGTAGCTATATGCTTTTCATAATATTGTTGGCAGGAGTTATTGGCTTCAATTTCTGCACGAACATGGCTATGAGTGACATTGATGCTAGTACTTAGTAGTAAATGTCAACTTGCCGAGACTACCATGAGCGGCCAAATATATATACCAGGTCTACACGTTAGTTATTCATCACGATGGCGGGATGAAAGTGAAGAGTACAAGCAGGTCACCTCGCAGTGAGATAGATTTAGAAACCGCCTCAATATAAAACATATAAAAGCCTATATTATATGCAAGCCCAACATATACAACCAAATGCGCCATGTAGACCTGGAGACATACACAATCCTAGCTCAGTAGACTATCAGCGGAAGGATATGGCACCGCTTGTAGAGCACAAGTTTTGCCACCTTGCCAAGCAAACGGGTCAATAGCTCAGTGGTACGAGCGAGAGATTGCAGATCTTTAGGTCGCGTGTTCGATCCACGCTTGGCCCTTGCTTTTTGATTTTTGAACTTCATATACAGGTTGTCCTTCATATGAACCTATGGCCTGAAATTTATTTTTTATTTATTTTTATTTTTTATTTTTTTTAATTGCTACATCGTACACAGCAGATCCTCGAGCGGTAGCCCAATCTGCTGACACGTACCTTCATCCATTGAAAGATGCGCCGAGAGACGTATATACCCATGGGTTGAATTCCACAGCCCTTTCAAAGTAGTATACCATTCCGTGCATAACCTCACTCATAATCGGGAGAGATAAAAAATTCAAGGACTTATGAGAGTCTGTCGCATGTAGCTTTAGTGAATTGGATGCTAAGTCAATCTGCAGACGTGGAAATGTCAAAGTAAGTAGTACCTGGTGGGTAACCCAGTGAAAGCCAAAACACACATGGACCCCAGGAACCAGCAGGAACACAAGAAAAGCGAGGTTCTGAGCCATTCGAGCAATCAAAGCAATATAATACAAGAAGACCATCGATCTTTCAACAAGAAAGGGGCCGGTAGCTCAGGGGTAGAGCGTGGGACTGCAGATCTTAAGGTCACGCGTTCAAATCGCGTTCGGCCCTTTCCTTTTTTTCGTTTTTGTTTATATTTCAGATCTTAGATATTGCATGGATCTTCTTCTGAGAGAGAGAGAGAATGCCTCTTTTTCTTTTTATATCGCGGAGGTCCATTGAGTGGACTGGCTGTATCCCTTTTCATAACAGACTGAGACTCATCACTACTCAGCCGTGCCGCTCATACGATGCAAGTCGGATATATTAGAATGTACCTGAATTCCTATCCAAACAAAGTCTATAGCCGCCTTGGCGAGGTATCTAGATAAACATGCAAGTAGGTATCCCGAAAGATATTATATACAAAAGACCTGGATGAAGCAAACGAAAATATCCATATAGAAACGGACCTGAATGGAGTACCAAATTATGTGATACCCAGTCCTGCAGGATCGATCAGTCCGACACCGGATCGGCTGGGCTCATTGGGTGGGAATACAATGGCACCTCGCCTTCATCGGTCTCCTCCTCTTCGGAGGAGGCTGCGTGTGGTTCAGGCAGACTGTCGTCAGTACTAGAAGCTGCTTCACTATCCGATTCAGGCTTGATCGCCCCGCGAAGGCGACGACGTGGAGGACTATCTGCTTCCGTGGCCTTGGAAGGGACTAGCATAACGCCTGATCTCAGGTCCCTTCGTGGCGGATACCCTTCTGGATGACCCCCAAGCTCTTCAATCAGGCGAGATGCATGTTCGGATATAGGACTCTCGCCCTGTGAGGAGAAACCTTCTCTGTCTGGAGACTCTTCGATTTCAGGTTTGGATGGTGTCGGCTCATCCACCCGCATTTCATCGTAGTCATCTCCATCGTTCGCATGCTCGCTGTCATTTTCCATAAATCGATTGTCAGAAAGGCCGGCACGCGGCTGATCAGGAGTCGGTATCAACCGATCTGTAAGCTTTGTATCCGCCTGGTCGAAACGTCGCCTCTTCCGCCGGTTTTCTGAAAGCTCATCGTATAGGTCCACAAGATCATGCCCGTATTCCTCCCATTCGCTGCGATAAAACGTCCTGTCGCGCCAATCGACCAGGTCCTCCTTTGTCTTGCGCTGGCCAACCGGTCTCCGTGGGACAGCATCTTGTGCCTCATATTTTTGGATTTGGGTTTCGAGGGGCTGTGGGGGTGGCTCACCAATGAGCTTCCATAGGCCCACTTCCTCAAGACGGCTCATCTGACCATCAACCTGTTCAGCATGGTCGTCCTCTGGATCTGTTGACTGTTCTTCAACTGGAGATAACATAGGCGAAGAGAGCACGGATGATGCCGCGGAGGAGTATTCAGACTCGTCGTCGCTGTAATCTGGATCCTCAACATCCGTGTTCTCTGGAGCACGACTTCCCGATCTTCCCCTCGACGCGCTTCTCTCACGCGACTCTGATTCCAGTGGTATCTTCCCAGACAAGATATCCTCTACCTCATCATGCTCCATGTGTATTGATTTCCACCCCTTTCGATGACGAGAATCTTCTACCTTCAAACTACATCGCCGCGCCAGGCCGACCCAGTAGTCGGAACGGTCCCGTTGCATGTTGAGCACGTCCAGCGCAGTCTTAACATCGCGAGACCTCACGACGTTCGCCTTTTGATTGCCAGTTTGTCGCATGTTTCGCAGCCTTGACATTGCGAAGAAAAGAGATGACTGAACAAGACGGCGTGTCAGACTGATCGTCAAAGCGTAGAAGTCCGCGAACGAATCGGCAGTCATGGACGGTGTCTCATCCGCAAAGGCTACATTGGTCCAATTGTCTTCCAGTCGTGCACCGCCAAAATTCATAAAGAAGCGCTCTGACAGCCGGATCCACTTTCTCATATTGAAGAGCTCAGCCGTAAGGTGCGCACTGGAGTTAGCACTTGGATCAGCACCCTGGGACTTGACTTCCTGCGAAAGTTCTTCTGCTGTCTCCCGATTGATGATCCACAGGTCTTGATGCTTCTGCTTTCCAGCGACATCTTCGGCCAACTGCTCCTCCATCGAAACCAATTCAGCGTATTGGTCGAGCTCATCACAGCAGTCTTTGCTTATTTCAGCGGCTGCGGGCACTTCACCAAGAATGATTGTCCTAGTATGACGATCCTTCAGGTGCTGTCTTTCCAGGCCCGTATGGAGCAGGTTCAAATGCTCCTGAACTTCAAGCTCAGATTTCGAGCCCAGCTGACGGGAAATTTCTTGAATCCCATCCTTGCTCTTCCTATCCAAAACATGGTATAATACCTCCTTTTCCTTCGGTGTCCAGGTCACGATTCCATTCTGCGATGTAATGTGGTTCTCACCACCGTTGATTGTAGGGATGGGCGCATGATCTTCGATGATTCCCGCAAGCACGCTGGAGTATGCCTCCGCAGACTCCTTCGATAGCGATAATTGTAAATCCTCTAGCGCCTGGGCCCGCGTGCCTCTTGCGGATCTGCGTTCCGTCTTCGACGTTTGCACGGGTGGATTTGTTGTCGACGAAGTGGGACCAGTTGACGGAGGAACCGGTAACGGGGCGCTTGTTTGCGAGCGCTTGATCTTGAGTTTGTATTCCGATGTGTCGTCGTCGTCTTCGTCTGGTTCATATGGAGTTGGGCTGCTCATGATCGAAGATAAAGAGGGCCAAGAGGCAACCGCACCACAGGCATAAGATTAGGGAAGATGGCGAAATCATTCCCTTCTCTCTCGCGCGCCCGTATAATCAGGAGAGCATTGCGGCACCGGCGACAGGTACAAGGCCGGGGCGTCTGCAGTTGACTGATCAACTTTCGCAGTTGGGATGGGAAAGTTTTCTGATAAGATGCGGTGTTTGCACTGTTTGTTTCCCCGCCGCGTGCCGCTCGGATTCATTCCGCGACGGAGCGCTCAACACCCTAGGCTCTGATTATATCTGTTTATATGTGGATTCCATGCGCAATATTGCAATTATCCTGGTTAAGTCTTCAAAGAATTCTCGGAGAGGACTTTAGACGCTCTTATGTTGATAACATCTTCAGCTCGCTCTAGCTTCACTGTTAGCTCTGAAGCTCTGCGTTGGTAACGACAACGACAGTGCAGCGGGACAGTCTGCGACTACTAGGGGACTTATACCAATTCAGATTCTGAATCAAACAAGGACACGGAAACCCAAGAACCGTACTTGCTAGACGCTGGGTGGCTTGCAAGCCCGGATAAAACGAAAAAGAGCCGATAAGGCTGATTCCAATTAGCTCGCTCTCCAGGATTGGTCGGACGAACAGCGGCACAAAAAGGTGCTCATCACAAATTCCATTCTGGCTCACCAAAGGAAATTACAGTTACAAAGTACAATACTACATAAACTTCACCCAAGATATAAAGTCGACGAGGCCTACCCTTCAGCCACTACGCCTAGCTCAGAAGCAATAAGGCAGATATCTTAGACGCAAGATGTATAACATCCTCGAAATCAGGATGGACCTGGCAAGAGAGGGAGTGACTTACTTACATAGTCTTCCGCTATATCAGGTCTGTACTGAATCAATCAGAATGTTCGACCGCGTTTCACTGCTACCGCCACAATTTCACATCTGCCATATGTCGCCAAGGTATCTCCAGCCTCGTGTGCAATAAGTGGTATTATATTAGCAGTCTGGCTATCAGCATCTGGCCACATAACACACGGGATTTTGCCAGATATAGCGACTTCGGAACAGGCAGGTTACATCCGGTGATTGATTCCGAGTCTAGACAGCAGACCTATTTACCAAGTGGAGAATCGTAGAAAGCGGTTGGGAGCAAACAGAAATGACGGGCCCGATGAGAAGGCGAGAGCTGGCTGAACTTCGGAGATGCGACGGTGATGGTGGAACCCATGGAGGGGTAATGAATGCAGAACGAGTAGGGAGCGTAACCAACGCCTTTTCATTGAGCAAACTGCCATGACCCTGTCAATTAGGTGATTAGGCAGTGTTTCGCGCCCATTGACCCCTATCCCTGCACCCGCGCGGATTCGTGGGAAACATCTTCAGCCCTGGCTCTGTTCGACCTACGCCTTGTTTTATACTCAACGACCTTTCCCATTTTCGCTCTTCTCATGATATTTCATGGTATTGATCTCTTCATGGTAAAGATACCGGCGAGGCGGCTGTCTGATTCTCCGGATTGGCTTCCCCGTCCGCTCGGACAACACTAAAATATAGTATGCTGCCAACTAGCTTTCCCACTATGTAAGGGAGCTCCACAGCGAAGGGAAGTGTGTCTGTCAATAAGAGACCCACTAACCGGGCCGCCCAGCCGTCAAATCAAGCCTCGGTTGGTTATTACTCTGTAGACAATCTGAACCACCGGTGCAATCGCCATTTTGGGCCTGCCAGCATGTCTTACAACGCAGACGGCAACTGATCGACATGCTCGTATGGGAATTCGCACATGAACTCCTTCGCTTCATACAACCTACTCCACAGGAAAACTTTACACACGCTGTCCATGGCTACTCCAATTTCAATCGTGCCATACGGGCTGACTTGCTCCATGTAGCCATGTACTTTGTTGCGACTCGGGACCACTCCGGCTATGTCAAAATATGGGCAAGGGGAATCCGCTACAATAATGCACTAAGGGCAGGAGTATTCCCTAGCCCGCTTGCTGCAGCGTTTCGACTTATATTATGATAGTGTAGCCATCTCGAGGGACACAGTCGGAGGAAATATCCCCAAGCGTTTCCAATAGACGAACTCAACATGAAGGTCTCCAGTGCGGCAGTCCCTGTCCTTAGCATTCTGCCCGAGGCCAGCCTCGGGCTTGGTTCTACGCAAGTTTGTGTATGTGATTTGTGTTCAGTACTTAGTGGGTGTGCTAATATCCTTGTTACCTAGTGCGCCGCTCTGCAAGCGACCTCCCTGCGTAACCAAGTCCTTTATCCTAGCAGCACGGCATACAATGAGTCCGTGTC